ATTTACTACGCAACTTGATCTTATGAACTAGTGCCAATCTAATCTACTGTATTACAGTATCAGAAGATCGCGCGAAGTCTACCTGAACCAATCAAAAGGCTCCCATACGGTAGATCGTACGGTAGATCAATACACTCTCGATATAGCAATAAATAATGATTACAAACTTCTTTAACGGCTATAATTCCATTTGACCTACCACCTTACAATAACTCAGGTTTATGATGGAATCATAAATGAGTCAGTCAAAGAATTTCGGTAGATCAAATCCGGATATTGAAGTGATAAAATTTGCAACTAACTTTATGTTATGAAGTGCACTAATTCTTATAACATGCTCTCGTTTGACCTCTCATCTTTCTTCCCTCTCCACCCTCCCCCCGGTTAGCTTTTGATGTTGATCATCGCCCTAACAACAAATAGGGGGGGGGGGGGGCGTGGTCATTCAGACAAACGAAAAACGCCCCGAACAACATTCGCAGCTCGATCGACACGCGATGGTGAGTTGTTCAATGCATACTTGGGTTTTTCTAGGGTTCTGAGTCACGAAAATGCAAGATGAAGGTCTTGGGAATCCTGAAATCCTTTTTTAAACTTATAGAAACAACTTTTCAAGCGAGAACTGAATTCTCATTATTTTTATCGAATAAAATCGTAATAATTCTTCAAATAGCTGCAATCGTTTTTACAAATTAAATCCAAGTTTCTGGGGAACTGTTAAGTTTCTGGGTTTATTGAGCTTTTGCGTTACGAAATTTTTTTGATATCAACAGTCGATATCCTAGATTCAAATCTGAGTTTTCGCAAGATTTTTGTGCTTCACTATCCTCAGTTGAAATTCTTGTATGAAAAACTGAATGGCTTCGCTCATTTATCGAGTGTTAAAATTTAACTTAAAATTGGCATTCTTTGAAAAATATTGCACAGTTGATTTCCTCCTGTTTCTAAGCACCTTGGTGGATTTTATAAAGAATTGATGAACTTGCACTCAAAATTTCTTCCTCAAATTTTCTTGAGGTATCGCTTTACTTCAAAAACTCACAAACTTCCTTATTTTTCAAACTTTTAATCTTTTCTCTTTGAATTTTCGCTATGATGTTCATCGATATCAGGATTACCCATTGCTGAATCTTCCAGATCATTCTAAATTGTAGAATTCTTCTTATGCCACTTCTTCCCATAAACGTTTCCAAAGTGCATATTTTGATTTTTCGTACATGAGCGTCCTTATGAATGTTCATAGCGAATTACCTACTCTTTCCATCATTTTCTTTGTCAACACAAGGAAGAAAGTGTAACCTATCCAGAAAAGGTGAAGTATGATGCTGCTTGAGGAAAAAGTCTAGAAACAAAGGGCGGAGCTGTTAGCCTAAAAACCAAAGTAAAAGAAGTACTTAAAGCTTTTCTTTTGAATTTTGCTTGGTTTGTATATTTTCAGTTGTGGGTTTTGCCATGAACCCTGACTTCTGTTGATACAATTTATTTATTGAAAATTTTTCAAAGAATTTCCTCGGTATCTTATTTTTAGCTCAAAACCTTTGATTGATTGAAGCACAAACCTGTAGAATCTTTTCGAAATTTTTGTCGACAACCTAATTTTTAGTGGATGATTGATTTAGGTCCGCTGGACGCACATAACCAGTTTACCTTTTTTTCTAATTACCAGATCGTAGGGTACAGATCAGAGCAGAAAATCCATCGAGAGTCTCCGGTCTTTGAATAGTGCTCTTTAGAAAAAGATCTGCTTCTGCGTGATCGAGACCACTCTGATTAGAATTGCATGAGTTCGATCTGCAAAAAATTGTTGTTCGATAGCTTCCGGGAAAAAAACTTTGAAGTTCGTGATAAGATTTTTTTCCGTACTCCAAAAGTACCCTATTTTCAGGTGTATAAGCCGCACTTTTTCAGTTTTTCAAACGAGCTACTCAGCCGTTTCATTGTGTTTGGAAAAGCGTTCCTTATGCCGCATGATTCTTCCAGGCAATACGCAGCAAGGTATAGGGTCCATTGGCTGAGAGGGTTCTTTGATGTGTTTGGGTTGGTCGATGTAAACTAGGACCACTGCGGCTTATTCACCGGAAAATAGGCTACCCATTTTTCCTCTTGTGTCATCGTTTTTTTTGAAGAAGTTCCGTTATTTTGCAATAATATCGTCAATTAATATTCTGATAATGGAATAGCGTCGCCAGAATGAATAGGTTAGGCCAGACTGATCATTTCGTGTAGGTCTTAGGCCTCGGACAGAGTTCATGCGCTTTAATCGTCGCGACTTAATCGCCGTTTCACTCATTTTCATTTTACATCCAAAAATTTCGAGCTGGACAAGTATCACAACCGAAATGCAAGCTGATCGGCATGCAATGAACTCGTAACAGTCGTCTTGTAGCGATTGAAGCGCGACGATCAAATCAAATCGCGTGAACTTTGTCCGAGGCCTTAGGAGGGGAGAGAGCGAACCAGGATATTGCAAATGACTTTCTGTTTTTAGAAGAAGTTCTCCCTTTTCATGCCGTCGTTTATGAATGCATCCAAAAAAATAGCATATCGTCAAAGATTATCCTGTTTTCGTCATGCAGCAGCTGTGTAGTATATGTTTCTAAAAAAACATTCCTTTAGAATGACACACTCAGAGTGAAGGCCATTCAAAACCAGGTTTTCAACGCATCAAGAAGATGGATTTCTTGTATTCGGTTTGTTTGCAGATAAACTCCAGTCTTCCTCTAACCTCTCTTCTCACAAGGGAAGGAATATTGGTCGATGTGGCCTTTTGAGATGAGATGTACACCATCTTATAAAGCTTGAAGCGCTAATTCCAAGTATACCTTTTCTATCTGCTACGGGCTTCTAGAAGGGAAGTTTTGGAAGTTTTTGTGAGCATAAAGTTGAATGCAAGATTAGTGTATAGTCAGATGTAACGTTCTTCCTTGGGCTTAACTGATATTCGGCTCACTCGGTGCAATAAATATTCTTGATACAAGCATACCAACTCGTTGCTGCCTTATTTTAACGTTGGGAAAAGAATACGACTGATCTCATACTAGTCTTGAATTCGAACTTTCACTCACAAAAATTTCCATGACTCCTCGCCCAGAAGCCCGCAGTAGATAGCAAAGGTAGATTTGGGATCAGCGTTCCAAGCTCTACAAGACAATGTACATCTCGTCTCAAAAGAGCAGTTCCTTCCCTAGTCAGAATTGAATGTTTTTTAGGACTTCGCTCTATAACAGCGGGTTTTCAGTTTTATTAGGTTGGCACATAGGTTTTGCAACGTTTCCCATAACTTTCTTCTTACAGAATTAGAATGTAACATTCTCATTTTTCGACATCCTGTAGAGCGTAAGTGCAAGCCTGCGGAAACTGTTTGGTTTGTGATAAGGTGGTAGAAAAAATTTGAGCAATTTTCGAAAACGCTTGAAAATCGAGGTTTTACGGTTTTTGGCAAACATAAAGTCGTACAAAACTTGAATGAAATAACATATCTCAAAGGAATTATAACATAACATATGGAATAACATATTTCAAAGGAATTACAGGCAGCATGTAGCTAGAAGTTGATACATTAGAATCAGTTAAGAAAGAGTGAAATTCAAAGACAAACTAAGATAAGGAGCTTTTGAAAATAGAACAAGTCAAATGCGTCAAGATTCGAGGACAGTCTGTCAGTGCTGCAAAACCTCAGAATTCATTGAATCATTGCACAATAGGGTAATCCAATGCGGTGAACTCGAGTATCATATTCGTTTGTCGCTAAGGTAACATTCATCTTTTGACTTTACGAACGAGGCCTTTTCATGCGAGATGGGCCTCATATTTGTGATCAGCATGTCGAATAACTCCCATAGGTCAAGTTTCAGCAAAATCTGACGATTGTACCGCAAACCTACCGTAACACTTACATAATATACCAAAATTTAGCAAAAATGTCCGCATTTGCAGCTTACATCATGCTTATTTTGCCAGAAAATGAATGCGCTACACTCAAAAAGACAAAAGTTATAGATAAAGTTGCATAGCTTATGTGCCAACTTAACATTTGAATCAGTGCAAAAGTTTCTGATTTTTCTGTTACTAACTGGGCCGCTGAAAGATAATTACTGCCCATGATCTCAATGGCATGCCGCTCAATAGCGGAACTGCTGTTCAATGACCAGTTTTGAACTTCGGATGATTGACAGTCATAGTTAACTTTTTCAGTTGAGAAAATCGAGAATGCTACCTTCGAGTTACTTCTGACCAATACATGCTATGAACTTGATGATTTATCGGTTTTCCTCTACCATCGATTAGAAAAACTGATCTGAATCCGAATCATGATAAATTTTATGAAAAAATGTGTAGCCTAAAGAATATCTCCGGAGTTCATTCAGAAAGGACGTTACGGTTTACTTATTTTTTGAAATGTACAAGTAGAATATTGATAATGTTTTCATCAGAAAATCATAACTTTTGTAGTTTGAAGGTGTGAATCAGAAGATCAAATTCATTCCAGAGAGTTTTTCGAGCTGTAGTTACTTCCAATGACTTTGATGTCTGAAAGGCTTACAGAATTTCATTCATCATTCACTTTCGTAATCCAAAGACCTAATTTTGTATAGTACCCATGATTCATTGCGTGTTTCTTTTTCCGCCTCTCTCTCCTTTTCAAATCGCTTGCAGTACTGTGTCGAAACAGTCTGTTCGCTGAGCTGTTATGGTTTCGAAGGGTGGGGGGGGGAGAGTGCTTTTCATTCAGTGCGCTGATTTTTGAAGGCTGAAAAGGATTGCATCTGTAAAAGTGTATCCGTTATCATTTGTAAGAATCGTATCCGTTTGCTGTGCTATCACTTACATGCGGGGGCGGGGGAGGTACTGGAGGCTAAACAGCTTCAAATCTGAAAAATATGGTTATGGTCCACTGTCAAGTTTTAGTGCTTCACTCCTGCTCCCCTAAATCCTCTCGTTACCGGAAAAAAACATAGATTGACCCATTTTTGCCGCTTTACGATTTTCTGTGAGTCACCATGGTAGCGCGTATCCAACGGGTATGGCTCATCTATTTATCTCTTTTGAAAGGACTGGTAGTAGACGAGGTAAAATAGATTTCGTATGTAAGTGAGCAACCGGGGGGGGGGGTAGACTGATAGCGTTGCTGGGGATAGATAGTTCAAACACCGGTTTATTTGCTTACTGATGCTAGTCTTAAAGGCACCGCCCACCCAAAATGGAGTTTGGCGAGATTATGATGACATACTATTGTGGGCCCCTATACTAGACAAACCTCCAAGCTTCGCCGCAAAATACTGCTTCTGGAGCGAGAAATCCGCTCCGGAAGTAGCAGGGATTTTTGGGAGTTTCGCGGATTTTCGACTCCATATTCGGAACCAGGGCTTTCAGAAGGCCTGAAGGCGACAAAAACATTGAATTCGAGATTTTGGGTGGACGGTGCCTTTAAGTACTATTCAGTAAAAAAGGCTTCAACTTAGATTTACAGTATGGAGCGAATCACCCATTGTTTGTTAGTGTAAGATTACGTTAGGAACTTTCAGCACACAGCGGCATTGTGAAATAGGCCGTTTGAACAGAAAATCCCACAAAAAACCTGGAAAGGCGTGATGCAGTGTTCTTTTCAGACATGCTGGCTTCGTCAGACAATTATTTATGAATTTTCAAGAATTTAAAGTGGTCCAAGCAGCAATTTTGAAAAACACTGAAAACAACGTCGCTGCGGTCTACAAGGCATGACTCATGAAAAAAACCTTAAGATAACGCGCAAATTTTGTACTAATGATCAGTGACTCAGTTTAGCCTAACGATAAAGTTTTCGCCCGTTCAGTATTATTTTGGGCAATATGTAGCCACTGGTGGCTCAAAACCCTTCACAAAGTTATTACCGTAATCTACAGCAATGAAGGGAGATGGGTAATTCGCTTAATACTGTAAATCTAGCCTCCTCTACTGAATGGTACTTGGAGCTAAGAAGAATGCACAGTCGGAAGGGAGTTATTAATGACCAAAAAGTGAGTACTTACTTTTGGGACCTTTTGTACAGTTGCAAAATCTTAGATGAGCATCTCTTCAGCAATTATCAATATCTTCATTTTTATCTCATACACTCTATAGGTTTCGCCTCTAAAAACCCTAGTAACATTCGAGCTAGTTCCATTCAAAAACTTTTGAGGAGATTTTATGATTAACTTCGAACATTTCGAAGTTCATCATAAAACCTGCTCTTTAAAGTTTCGAATATGAATAATATAATACTTTTCTTTAGACAAAGACATTTTTATCGGTTTTTTTTGAGTATTGATGTATTGATTTCCTTGTAAGCCTTTCATCCTTGCTAATGCGATTACTGTGCAGGCTCACCCTGGAGATGCACCAATTCCTGTGCCCTATATATCCAACCTCGGAGAGCCGCTAAAGGCTGGACAGACGATAGATATCCATGGAAGAATAGATACTGATGCTAACAGGTAGGATAACAAAAGTTCTACATCAATAAACTTTATGAGGGAGGAGTCGAGGGGGCGGGGACTTGCTATTTTCCTGTCATTCTTCATCATAGGCAATGTATAAGCTGCGCTCATTGCTGCATCGCGGGTTTCATGCCCTTGAGCCGCATAGAGATAATGGGGATGCAGAGACGCAGATATAGCTCGCCGATGCGGTTGCGTTTGTGCATTGTCTGCTCGCTGAAGCTTTCCTTCTTTCTGTTCTTCCTTACCGAAATTTTGGAAAAAAAAACGTCCGGAGGGGAGTGACTCTTCATTTTGTGCCTGAAGAAGCTTATATATTCTATAGTAAAAAAATGGAATATAATAATAATTGCAGAGTTGAAATCAATCTTCTCTATGGTGCACCTTTGATTGATCCTGGAGTGTGTGTTCTTCACATCAACCTTCGCTTTGACGAAAATAAGATAGTTATGAACAGCTACATGGTATCAACTTTTCGTGATTTTGAAGATTTTCAAATTATAAGCGTTAAAGATGGTGAGAATAGCATTTATACGAAGGAATAACATTGTTGTGCTTCCAAATGTTTGATTCAGAGTGGAGCGTGGGGAAAAGAAGAACGCGTATCGATGCCATATAAGCAAGGAGAGGCGTACGATCTCAAAATTAGGTAAGTTTTCTAGGCAAGCGAGAAAGGAACAGCATGGTTGTTTTCCTTCTAAAGCAAATAATTTTTCTCAAGATAAGCGAAAATAATGGTCCTTTATTCATTGATAACTTCTATGAATGGAAAGTTCACCTGATGTTCAAGATATGAATCAAAATATAGATCGAATCTCTTGAATATTATCGGAATCATCTTGGACTAACCAAACTGTTAAGTATTTTTTCCTCAAAATATAATAAAAACTGGCAAAATATACAAATGTAAGAATTTCCAAAAAGCGCTTCCTGCAATACCCTATAAACAAGTTTCTGCAATCTTATATATAAAACTGTTTGTTTGTCTGTCTGTCCGTCTGTCTGTATGTATGTGTGTACGTATGTTCCGAATAGAAAATTCCATTTCTGAACCGATCGGGACCATACTTTGCACACACTCTTCGGGGCCGGGCGGGTGTCATAGGCTACTTTTCGTCATCGATCCATATCGATTTTATCGATTTTTTGCAAAATTTGAGTTACGGGGCTGGGAGTTGGCACAGGGGGTAACCGAGCATGCTGATTACAAGTATATTATTGATAGGGCCGGGCGGAGCCGGGTAAGCCAGCTAGTACCTTATAAAACAAGTTTTTGAGTCACTGCGGAAGAACTTGAAAGGGTTGTAAATTTGCAACTTTTAAAATTCTCATCAATGAAGGATTGCCCACGAAATGTCTTCTTGATGAGCAGATCAATGTGAAAATTTTGAAAGCTGCGATCAGATTGCGCTTCTGCTGGTGCCGCTCCAGCGCCGTTCCGGTGCCATGCCCTTGCCATGGCAGAGCTATGGCAGTAGAATGTGTATTAACGTCGTGCCGAAACCGTATTGGACGAGTTGGGCATCGATCAGCTGAATTGCCCACGTACGCAATACCGGTACGGTGCTGGCACGGCCAATTTCGAGCGCAGTTTGACACTTTATGTATAATCTCCTTTCAGAGTGCATGAAGATGGGTTTGAAATCTGGTGTGGTGAGAAAAAAGTTCATTTCTACAAACATCGCATGGGTTACGATGCCACTGACTATCTTCAAATTAAGGGTGACTGTACTTTGTCTGGAGTTCACTGGGGTGGAAGGTATGGGACCATCAAAATTGTCACGGTGATTATTGTAGTATCTATTGCAGGTACTACAATATCCCATGGGAAACAGCCTTCCCGGATGGAAGTCTGCGAGCGAGTACGTATCAAGACTCGCACATAATATAAAATAATTCACATTTTCTGATATAGGTCAAAGCATCCTGATGCATGCTATTCCTAAAGGTGACCGTTGGAATTTGGACCTTCTAGGTAGAGGTAAAGATATCTTGTTCCATTTCAATCCCAGATTCAAAGAGAAGCAGGTGAGAAGAAAAAATTGATGGTGGCAAGGGTTAGTCATCTTGTGGCCCCGTTACAGATTGTTCGAAACTGCTGGATAGGTGGTCAGTGGGGTAAAGAAGAGCGTGAAGGACCATTTCCATTTGAGAAAAATCACGGTTTTGATCTCAAAATTGAAAATGAACCCTATTCCATACAGGTGAGTTTGCCTAGCGGTGTGTTTCTGTAAGCTGCGGTAGTCTACCATATGCTTACCGTATCCTCATATTTTATTATTTATTACATAGGCTACCCTATGTTGACAAAACAGCAATATCAACAAAAAAAAAAGAACAAAACAGCAATATCAACAAAATATTCGAATGACAATGAACCAAAAGTGTTAGTAACAATAACATATCAAACCATCCTACTGCAGATTCATGGAGAAAGTAGATAGTTCTTCAGGACTGCTTTGAACTGTGAAAGCTTATAATGGAGCATTCCCTTCCTCATTAGTTTATCAAGATCACTGCATACTCTATTAACGAAAAACCTTCTTCTCACATTCCTTCTCGCTCTAGGGACCACTATCTTCATTGGCCCTCCTCTCGTTCTTGAGCGCCTCATTTGGAAAAAGTCCGAGGGATTGACCTGATACTCTTTAAACAAGATTTTGTGTGCTGTAATAAGGTCAAATACCCTTCTCCTGAAAGCTAAACTATTTAATCCAAAGTTTTTATTACGCCGATTGCCATCAACTATTTCATCATAGTCAAGCCCTTTGGTTCGGATCCATAGTTTTCTAGTAAAACTATTCTGCACTTTCTCAAGGGTCCGTATAGAGCTTACTTTCGTGGGATTGAATACTACCGTGCCGTACTCAAGTAGAGGTCTAATGTAGACTTTATAAGCTCTGATAAGGAGGGCTGGATCACTACTTGATAAAGCACGGAATAAGTTGTGTACGGCTGCATTGCCCTTCGCAGCAATAGTTTCACAATGTTTATCAAAGCTGAGATCGCTACAGACCAGAAAGCCGAGATCTCGAATCTCATCAACGTACTCCAGAATTTCTCCTTCTATTTGATACTGATAGTCCAAATCTTCAGGTCCAATGTGTAGAACTTTTGTTTTTTCACGAGAGATTGGCAAGTTCCATGTTTTCGACCATTCAAAAACGATATTTAGAGCTTCTTGCAGCGTAGCCTTATCTGCCATTGTTGTGATTGTTTTATAGATTTTGAAATCATCAGCAAAAGTATTTATCGTAATTCATCATCAGTATTTATCGTAATTCATTCTAAATGGTTTGTTGTATATATTAGGTTGGACCGAAAGTTCGTTCGCACCATTTTCAAAAATTCATAACTTCTGATTTTCCAACCAATTTGACTTTTACTTTTGTCTGAAAGAGCAATTCATTCTTTTCATGCGGTATCTTAGTGGCGTTCTACTGAGCATACTCTGCATAGATATAAGCAGTAGAAAAAAAAATACTCAAATTTTCTGTGTTGGGTCATAAGAAATTGAAGCTTGCAGTAAAAATCGGAGCAGTCGTTATTATAGGTTCTAATACCAGCTCTTTCTAACAGTGCAAAGTTGCGCTGATTGAGCGTCTCTACGAAAAGTTACGATTTTCGAGCAGGCAATACAAAAGGGCGAGTTTGATTTATTTTGGCATTTTTCAGGGAAATCATAACTTTTCATAAAGACGCTCAAGCGCAAACTTTGCACACTTAGAAAGAACTGGTGAAAGAACCTATAATACCGACTGCTCCGATTTTTGCTGCAACTTTTAGATTTTTTATGACCCAACACAGAAAATCGAAAATTTAAATAATTTCTTCTGCCTCTTTTATCTATGCAGTGTATGCTCAATAGAATGCCGCTAAAGGTGCCTCTAGGATGCACTTTCAGAGTAAAAATCAAAACACGCAACTCGGTTGAAAAACCAAAAGTTATGATTTTTTTAAAATGGTGCGAACGAACTTTCGGTCCAACCTAATATAAACAGAATATAAGGTACGTAAAGATAAAGAGAGCTTTAGAAGAAGCTAATAAAGAGGTGACATTCATCTTGATTGTTAGCGTTATATGATAGGGCTACGGTTAACCATGTAGTAAGAAATCGAAGCCACATTCGTCTCGAGCTTTACCATGAAGTAATTTTACCTACCGTATCCTTACCGTAATGCGCCAGGTTAATTCTTTTCTGGCATTTTTGTGGAAATAATCTAAAAAGAAAAAATGTTTTGTTAGTTTTCTCGAGGAAATTTTGTTTCCAGATCTTCGTAAACAACGAGCGCGTCGGCACATTCGCACATCGCACTCCTAATCCAGCCGAGGACTACATCGGAATGAGGATTGATGGTGATATCGAAGTGACCAATATCGAGTTTGTATAATCGATACTGATCAATAATTGTTGCTTAAAATAACACGTATGCGCCGTATTTTGCCATGATCTTTATGTCCTCTTTTTTTTCCTTAAAAAATTCCATTTTATTGCAAGCATTTGTTATTCCAATATCATCTGTTTTTCACTCGTCATCAATAACTTCGCTCATAAATCGATGTGAAATGTTCTTTAACATTGATCGTAGCTCGCGGAGACACAGTTGATGAGATTCATAAAACAATTGAGTTTTGGCAATTTTTTTTTGACATGGCCTCATTTTTTGTTTTAGAAAACTTTATTGATGCATTTTTATACAGTTATAGAAATAGAATAGGTTGAGACTAGGCATCGCGCAAATTACCTTGTGTTATAAGAAGTTTTATAAGAATCGTTCATACCATTTTGAGCTAGTGGAGGAAGGAACTGAAGAGGAATCTGCGAGAAATGCTTACATCCATTTTTATAAAGTGATCCAAATTGAGGAGTAGTGGCCTAGTGGTATGAGGCGCCACTACGATCAGGTGACCCAGGTTCGATGCCGCCCCTGGGCCAGCTAACCTCTACCCTCCGAGGCCGGTGAATTGGTACCAGAGTAATCAGGGGATAAAAACACTGACTTGGTACAGCTGCCTCCCGCAAGTCACTGTAAGGCACGCATTTAGTAGCCTCTTCGACTAGAAATACATGTATTCGGCGCATGCCCGCAGAGGGTATTGAAGACGATGCATCCTTTATCCTTAGTCCCCAATACTTTCATGCCTATAACAAGTCATGACTTGATTAAAACTTTCCTCAGCTGCTCGCAGCGTTGTAAGATTTCTAAAACCATTGGGATCAATAATTTGTGAAATGAAGCGCAGAGCTAACTTTCGGTTAAAATTTTTATAACTCTCGCATGCTTGCTAAGTAGCTTCCGATTCTGTCAAAAAATCGAATGTATGGTTTATTTTTAAAATCGTGACGACGAGTTGACTGCGGTCTTTGCGCACACAGGCGGATGAAACTCCCACACAAACAGGCAACATTAACGCTAAGCTCAGCCACTTCCAGTGCCTGGATACTATCATATGTAGGCAGAAAAACTCTTTGAGTAGAGATAGAAAGGATTGGGATTGCATGAGTGTTGCGCCGCGCGGTCGCGCCATCGTCACGATTTTTCGAATACCCTATATAACTTGCTTCCTATACTGAAAACAAAGTTTCTAACTTATATTACCCGTTTTTCTCTTTTTCTTCTTTTACTTTTTTCTTATTCTTTTGCGGCAATGTTGCATCGTAATTCCATTTGATTAGGCTGCTTCTAGTAATGTGAGGTTTGCCCCGTACGTAGCTTCGAATCAACATTGCTTCGGCCAGGGTTGCGGCCCTTTCCTGTAAATCTAGGGAAGTGCTGCTGCTATTGTGTGTTGATCACTTCGCAAATCGTGACCATACCATCGTAACTTTACTTCACGCATTTTGTCCGCGATTGGAGCAACTCCGAAAATTTGAAATTTGCTGCACATTGGTTTTTCGTAGCGTAGTTTTTCCGCGTAAGGCCAAGTATCCATATTATCATGCGTGTCTCCATCGTGCGGGATATGCTTGTGCTTCTTAGTCGCTGGCGAACACTCTGCTTCGTATAGGGCCTTTCTGTAACGCTACAGAGAATGCTGAAAACATAATTCGAATTTGCGCTTCATGAAACAAGGCTTACTCAGCGGCTCACGAACAGAAGAAAGTTGTATGATATATAAGCTCGCTAAAAATTGTTACTTTCGCCTTATCGCCCATGCAATAAGCAAATTACCATCGCCTTCACGGAGTTCATCAAATCATCTGGCGACCCGGTAGGACTCAACAGCCATTCCCGCACCTTCGTTTTAGCGGTTGCACTTCCTCACCATAAAGACGACGAACCAGCCACCTTGAACTACCTTCGACAGCTTCAAAGCCAACCACTGCCAGATTAACACGGTCGCACTGACACCTTCTCATCCCGCCCGTCTCAAGAAATGTCGACTCTCGACAGCACAGTTCTTCGAAGACAAATCGAATTCTCCAAACAACAGCTGCAGGAGCATTGTTCCGCAGCTATTGATCTTCTCAAAGAATATCGAATTGAACCATCTCAAGCTATCCTCACCCTATTGAGCAATGATGAACTGGAGTCAGCTCGCTTCGAACTCGCATTTACAAAGACGAGCTTGTTGGAAACACACAACAAAATTGTGAAACTCCACGACGAGTGGACATCTCTCCAATCCGATCCAACAGAGCAAAGAGTTTTCGAAGGCTACGTCACAAAATACGACGATTATCGCACAGATATTGCCTCAGCCGTCAACACGCTCGAACAGTGTGCGTCATTCTAAATGCTCTAGACGGGGAGTATGTCAAAAGGGAACTCAATCCACCATCAGATCTCTCTGATGTGAGAGATCAGGTGACGAAGGCAAGACCAACACGAGACGACGCTATACTCATTCAACTAATTCTACTCCAGACACATCTCTACTCAACTTCGTAGATGCTTCCATTTTAACCAAGTTAAAATTACCTACATTTAAAGGCAACCTAATAGATTTTCCAGAATTCAATGCGCGATTTGCAACATTTATCGCCAACAAGAGTCAACTTGGCGACACTACAAAATTCTCGCTTCTGAAGTCATGCCTTCGTAGAAGAGCCCTACAATCCGTCCAAGGACATTGGGACAGCTGAAAACTATCACATTGCTATGGACATACTGAAGACACTTTATGATGACAAAATAACCGTTAGGCATATCCTTTTCACCAAACTGGCACAGCTACCACCTTGCGACTCTGAAAGACGCCATCTACCCATCCTATACAATAAAATGTTTACCCTCGTCCGGCAGTTTGCAAACAATTGTAATGCCTCTGAAACTGCCCTGGGGGCACCCTTCTCAACAAACTCCCTCTGCGAGTGAGAAGTCTGGTATACGACCGCACTTCAAACGACCACAACGTTTCCCCTTCGGAAGTACTCCACCTACTGACGGTTCGTTGAAAAGACTACGCTGTTCGAAATGGAATATCACGCACGTCCTCCTACGCATCAAGACCAGCTTAAGGAATTCCACGTAGCGCTCAGCAAAACATCTCGGCCAAGCAAAGTCGCAGGTGAAAAGAAAAAATACCGTAAGTGCCTATTCTGCGACTCTACCGCTCATTTAACATTAGAGAGCGATGCCTACTCTACAGCGAAAGATCGTATCGATCAAGTAAAACTCCGGAAACTTTGTTTTAATTGTCTTTCGACTTTTCACAGTACAAGAGATTGCACGTCAAAATTCCGTTGCATGTTTTGCTCTAACAAACACCATTCCTCATTGTGCTTTTGATCGAGTCGCTCTCAAACGGCTTCTACACCGTCTTAACGATCACATTTCCACGCCTCCAAAATGTGAGATCTTCTTCAAAATCACCAAGGTTGTAGAATCATACAATGCAATTAGAAGAATTCAATAAGAAGCTTGTTACCTCTTTTACTGATTAGAATGAACAATCGATTGACTCACAGATCGATGTTCCTACAACACAAGCTCATGTTACGCTAAACCAACAATGTAACAAATATAACGACTCAGACTGCACTAATGCGCACAAATGTAACGCTCAAATCCAAATGATCGCTTGCATCAAACTACAGTGACCGCTTCTTTGGACAGCGGTGTTAACAAATCATATATCACCGACAAAGTTGGTACCATACTTCATCTGCCTACTACAGGGACCAAACATATCAGCCTCTCCACCTTTGAAAAAGTCGAATCCCAAGAATGGGATGCCGGAACCACGTAGTAGACCCGTAACTACGTACACTGAAAAGGGACCGAAACACCTTCAGGTGAAATCGATACCGTTGCTCACTGAAAACTTAGAGCGCATAGAAATCCCGGAAGGTTCAACAAGTAATGTCACCCCTTCTGTCTGCCAAGCCTCTATTCTTATTGGCAACGACTACTTCTGTGACATAATATTATCCGTAGACTTCCATCACAAGACTCTTTCAAAGAGCTAGCGAATTCTGCATACAGCTATTGGATACATGATTGTAGGCAAATCTTTCAAGCGAGAAATTATGTTGCATGTACTGCGGTCAACTCCATCACTGAGACCGATGCGTCTAGTCCTCACAAGGAACTCATGTTGCTCAGCAACTTCTGGAGACTCGAAACCTTTGGGATACTCGACGACCCTTCTCACAAGGAAAGGAAGGTTGGTTGAAGTGGCTTAAATGGCACATACACTGCCTTGTAGAGCTTGGAGCGCTGGTTCCAAATCTACTTTTGCTATCTGCTGCGGGCTTCTGGGTGAGGAGTTATGAAGGTTTTTGTGAGTAAAAATCTGAATGCAAGAATAGGCTAAAATCGTCGTAACATTTTTATAGGGCTTAATTGGTAGTCGGGTGTTACTCGGTGCAATATTCTTGATTCAAATATACCATTTCCCTGTTACCTCATTTGAACATTGGGAAAGGGTTAAGACTGATTTTACCCCTATTTTTCCATTCAGATTTTTACTCACAAAAACTTTCATAACTCCTCTCCCAGAAGCCCGCAGCAAATACCAAAGGTAGATTTGGAATCAGCGTTCCAAACTCTACAAGGCAGTGTACACATCAATTCAAAAGGCCACTTCGACCAACCTTTCTTCCCTTGTCAGCAAGATGATGGACAATGGCCTGTAGTAAACCCCCAACAGGGCATCTTTCTTGAGGCGGACCGGAGGTGATCTCATCGTGCCTCAGCACATTGCCAGTGGAGCGATGGATTTGGAGCAGATTACTGACTGGACATTTGCGTTTTCAAAACTGGAACGTTTATGCCATTTGTGCATTAGTAGTCAAATGGATAAGACTAATGCATTTCAAGCGGGAGTGCCGTGGTACGGGTGCGGCTAGCGACACCGTTTTTGCTACTTGGCCTGGCGATCTTTGACAGCGGCCGCTGTCGAAAAAATCGATAATAGCCGCTATCAGAGATTTCGCCTGGCAAATAAGAAGATATCGTCCTTTCACCTCGTTGTAGCGGGCACGCAGCCTCAGACGCTCTCCCGCGAAGCGGTTTTGACCGCGACGCAGGGTCGATACGGCTGATCAGC